AGAGAGAGAGAGAGAGAGAGAGAGAGAGAGAGAGAGAGAGAGAGAGAGAGAGAGAGAGAGAGAGAGAGAATGTTTTACAGAGCGGGTTGCCCAGCACGTGAGACATGTATTTACTAATGTCCAGTCTTGTTAGGTGTATGCGTGAGTGCACCTAACCTTTGTAACGTCTACTGCCATTGTTAACGACCAAGACAAATTTCTCCCTGTGAGATAAATAAAGATTATCATATTCATTGTCAAAATACAAGCTGGCGCCTTGCCTTCGACAGGGTCTGGCGATATTGTGCAAGACATGAAGAACCAGGTGAAAGCGAACCAGATCCGAATTGGCGTCCTCGCTGACCAGAACAACGGCCTCAATGAGTCCATTCAGAAGATTGCCTGCCTGCAAGGAACATCTGGATACCACGTGAGTTGGGGGAACGCTGCTCTGCTGTGTCTGCAGTTATACGTATATTATTTAACTGTGACTCGAGTTATACGTATATTATTTAACTGTGACTCGAGTTATATGTATATTATTTGACTGTGTCTCTATCTATAAATTAATGAGCTTTTACCACATGGTCCTACCAGTGCTGATTGTTGATTGTGGGTGTGTATGTAGTGTGTATGTGTGTGGTGTGTAGATGTGTGTGTGTATGTGTGTGTGTATATTTATGTTTGTGAGTGTGTGTGTATGTGCATGTGTTTTTGTAGTTGTGTTGTGCTGAGCATATGGTGAAGCTGTGTTGGGGTGAACGTCTGGTGAAGTTGTGGTGCAGAATTGTCTTTCTCAAACTTTGTTTGTTTGTCTGTCTGTTTGTGTGTGTAGAGTCGGCCGGTGCACACAGCCGTGGAGCCGATCCCTCTGTGGCGACAACCCTCCAGAGAGGCCGCGGCTCAAGGTCACAGGGAACACAGCCCTCCGCCGTACAATGCTCAGAAGTGAGTCTTTTTCTCCGTCTGTGGTTTGTTTGTTCAGCTCACGTTAGTCTTGAGGAGTTTATGCCTCACAAGACGTCTCATCATAGGTTTCCGTCTATCTCTCTACTTTTTAAAGTTCAAAATCTGTTCTCTATTTTTCCATATCTCTCTATGTTAGTTCACCATCTGTTCTCTATTTTTCATATCTCTCGATTTTAGTTCACCATCTGTTCTCTATTTTGCTATATCTCTAGATTTTAGTTCACCATCTGTTCTCTATTTTGCTATATCTCTAGATTTTTAGTTCACCATCTGTTCTCTATTTTGCTATATCTCTAGATTTTAGTTCACCATCTGTTCTCTATTTTGCTATATCTCTAGATTT